TTTGAAGTAAGAAAAAAAAAAAAAAAGAAGTGGGTTGCTGTACTGTTTGCTTTCTTTTTGTTAGTTGACTTTTCTTATCTGGTAATAAGATAAGAAAGCCTAAGTGAAAATGTATTTGTAAATATCATTGCAAAGCATGCCCCCCCCCCCCCTTTTTATTTATTTTTTTGCTTTGACACAGATAAAAAGCAGTTGGAGGGATGCTCATTCCCTTCTGCAGAAACTGCTTCATCATCACAAGATTAGCAGCTCACTCTGGAGCGTCCCTGAATGACAGACTTCATCTGACTGTTCGGGTCAGCAAAGGGCCCCCAGATTCCAGAGACTGTCTCCTCTGTGACATTTCTGTTAATGGCTGTTGTGTTGAGCCGGGCTGACCTCCATGGCAGCGGATAAAGATTCAGAAAAGCCAACCTTCTATGCTGATTTCCAGATTATGTCATATAGCTTTGGTTATGGTATAAAAAATTAGACTGCTGCACAGACTTTGAGCTGTGTTTCTGTAATGATGCCCAAAATCTGTTTATGGATCTAAAGACTGATTGTTTCTTCAGGGTTTTTGGTTTTTAAAGATCTATACTATTCCATTTGTCTGACTCTCTGGAAATGACAATTATGTGCTTGGATTGATTCTGGCTGTCAGGTCTCGGTAAAGATTTGAAAGTGTGTGTGTGTGTGTGTGTGTGCAAAGGGTGTATTTTTGCATCTCTTGTTGGCATGCCAACAATGTTCAGCAAACTCTTTGGTATTTCTGGTGCTGTTCATCTATAAAGAACCGAACAGTAGAATATAAGCCACTGCCAAGAGAGGAGTGCAGTTGTGCCAAATTCTGTGTGAGTTTCTTGGAGCTATAAGTTGTCCAAACTCAAGTCAAGTCACTGCTGGTCATGAGAGACTGTGTGTCTTTATGTGAATCACCAAAGTATGAAACATCTTCTTTTGTTCACTGCATGTTTTGTAGCCGAATCCCTGGCAACCCTTGAGTAAATGAGCCCAGTGAGTGTGCAGTGACGCCCAGTGTTGGCTCCCATGCTGATGGTTCATTCTCTGTGCACACAGCAGATGTGGCACGCTGTCTCAACAGTGCCCTCCAAGTTGGCTGCGGAGCCTTCGCCTGCCTGGAGAACTCAACTTGTGACACAGATGGTTTGCATGACATCTGCAAGTCCTTCCTGTACAGTGCTGCTAAATTTGACACTCAGGTACACGCTTTGATTTCCTATTTAATTCTGTGGGTTGGGTAGGGTTACATGGGTGTAACTACCAGGGCGAGAATGTATGAAGCGCTGCTGTTTTCTTTACAGGGTAAAGCGTTTGTAAAGGAGAGCCTAAAGTGCATTGCCAATGGCATTACCTCCAAGGCATTCCCAACCATCCGTCGCTGCTCCACCTTCCAAAGAATGATATCCGACGTCCAAGAGGAGTGTTACAGCAAGCTGGACATCTGCACCGTGGCCCAAACTAATCCGGATGCTATCGGTGAAGTGGCACAGCTGCCGAGCCATTTCCCCAATAGGTGAGCGCCTCTCAAACGCCATTCAACAGATTCTTGTTCGTTGTCTGCTCCGAGCCGAAGAGGAGAGAATGCTGCGCATTCACAGAGAAGCGAGCAAATTAGAAGTAATTCTTTTAGTTTCCTTCTGAACAATTTTCTGTTCAGTGGGTAAAAAATTAAACAGGAAAATCAAGTCTGAATGTTTGTGTTCCTTTTTGCTGATGGGATTGCAGTTTGGGAGTGGACACGAAAGGAATGGAGGGTGGAGCGTTGTAATAACTACAGCTACAGTTTGGTTACTCCCATATGCATGACATCAGACGCTTTCATTTGTGCCTTCTCAAAATGCTGCGTGTTTTGTTCCTTCAGGTCGCAGGCTGCTGAAAGTGTGATTGTTTGTTGCCACAGATTTTATGGGAAGCTGCTGCAGAGCCTGATGGACTGTGATGAGGACACGGTGGATCGCATCAGGACCAGCGTGGTGTCACGTCTGGGCCCTGAGATGACCATGCTCATCCAGCTGCTGCAGAACAAGCCCTGCCCGTCCACTGCTGTGGCTGCAGCCGCCGCCATCCCGACTGGCGTGGAGGGCCGTGGGAGCTGGCGCTGGTCAGCGGGACCCAATATGTACAAGATCCAGCCTAATCTGCGAAACAGAGACTCTGCCACTCATTTAGGCAAGAAGCGCTCCGCCAGTGACAACTCTTAACTTCTATTCCAATTTAAACAAACGAAGCTCCACACACTTTTCTCAAAACATCATGAAAGTTCGCCTATTCCCAATGGGTGCATACCCAACCCTGGGATAGACTAAAAGTTACTGTAACACAAACCTCTAGGGAATACCAGACAGCCCATGGAGTTTATATCAGTTTGATTGTTGTTATATTATATATCCTACATGTTAGGCTTGAGAGAAGCCCCTTTCCATTAATTGTTTTTAAATATGTCTCCTCACAAGTCAGTGTTGAACATGTGGCCGTTGCATTTGAGCAACATCGTCCCGGTCACCTATTTTCATGTCCTCCAACAAAAAAAAAGTCCTCAACAAGCTTTTTGATGCTTAGTTTAAAAAAGAAAAGACAAAATAATTCATCATAATGGCTTGTGCCATTAGAGCACATGGATTAAAAGACAAAAAAAGTTCATATTTTTTCGTGAATATGAGTCAGTAGTTTGACTATTGTTGGTCATTTGGAGGAATTATTGGTTAATTTAGGTAATTATTGGTAGATGTATCTAATGTTTCTGCACTGAGACCAGCCAGTTGTATGCATGAGAAAAGACTGTAATAGCACTAACATAAACCTTAAATGTACTGTAAACTAACTTAGACAGCCATAGATAGCCCTCTGAAAGAGTGCTCATATGTGAGTGAGGTCTTTAGGATTTCATGGGAAGTTTCCTTAAACAGACCAAAAAAACTAAACTCTTCAGTCTGCCCTGAATGCTACTCACAAAAACTATCGAAATGGTGTAGAGCAATAGCACTTAGATTTTATGTTTTGTTTTCTGCTGGCAGGTAAAGTCATGGTCATAGGTTTCACTATATAATTCTGTACAGAAGGATTGTCCAGGTCATGGCCATGTGTACCAGGAAAAAGTCCTTTTGTTGCATATTTTATATCCAGACACTTGCAACGCATCAGACTGTTGAGCTGTTCAGTATACGTGGGACCAGTACATTTGGATCCATGCTCTTAACTGAGTGTGAAGCGTTTGTGTGTGTGTGTGTGTGTGTGTACGAGTGTTGTGTTGTGTGTGTGCGTAGCTGAAAAACATGCTCACCAATGAGACGTCAATCTCTGAGGTGAGTCATGTGACATACACGCTGACTTTTTTGTATCAAGATAGAGAATGAATATTTAAAATAACAAAACAAAAAAGAAAGCCTTGTTGGAACGATATTTATTTTCCTACTATATTATTTAATTCTTTTTTTATTATGTTGGTGTATTATTATAGTTTGAGTTAGTATACAGGTTTCAAAAAGAAAATCAGTTTTAGTCAGAACTCCTATTTGAACATGAGCTCTATGCCAAAAACAATCCAGTGACTGAATGGGACCCATGTCATGACTCTGTGCTGGCCATAGGGGAACACGATTGGTCATTCACGTCAGGTGATCTCATTTATGGGCGTTACAAGAGAAAATAATGTTTGCAGCTGCTTGAAGGCTGATCGAGTTGGTAAAACAAACACCAGTGTGACCAGTCCTTTTGGCAGACTTTTGATGGCTTAGCAACAACAATTTAATTAGCTGAATTTGGTTTTGGGTAATTAATAACAAAAAATTGTCCATAGATGTGAGTGAGAGTGTCTCATTTGTCTATATGTCATCCTGTGATGGACTTGTGGCCTGTCCAGGGTCAACCCTGACTCTCGCACAGTGACTGCTGGAGATACATAGTTAAAGATAATGGATGGATGGATCTGGTTACTTTGGATTTGTTTGCTCCTGGTTGATCACTTCTTTAGATTCACTTGAAACGACTGTAGCTGTCCATCTTTGCATCCAAAACTCCCATTAGATCTTCTCTGCTGAGCAGTTCTTCTTCACAGGAAGACAATCAGAATCACTACTTCAAGACTGAGCCATGCAGGCACTGAGAGGGGTCTTCATGCTGGTGTTTGTTTCATGACGGTTTGGCAGAAGAAACCATAGACTGTATTTATGTAGATCTTCGGACCGAGCCCTGAAGTTAAAGCCAGAATGGACTGGTTTCTCTGTAAACTGGCATCAGTACAAGCTTTAGGTCACGCCACCTTTATATGAACCAACAGAACATTGTTCTTGGTAAAAACTGGTTTCAGGGCAGCTTCTGCAAACCAGCGCCTGTTGGCTACAATTCCTAACAAAATAAGCAGGGACACTTGGTTTTGTTGCATAAACAATCTATAAACCTAAAGAGACAATAAATATCTTATGTTGATTAAGAGCAGAGTACGTTGAGTACCTTAAAAAGTAAATTATGTATGTTTGTGTGCATTGAAAATGCAGCACAGAGGAGGACTTTGAGTCAGTGACCAGCTTTGGTTTAAAACTTCCCATACTTCAAAAACTGGAACAAATTGGTTTAATCAGAACAATTTTATAAAAGCAACAACAACAACACTGTAACCATTAAAAAAAAAAAAAAGATTTATTTATTTATTTACACTTTGACTTAATGAAAAGAAAAGAATGTCAACTCTTAAAGATAAATATCCTGGTTTATAGAGCGAAGCTTGAAAGGGGAAACATGTTCCCCCGCTCTCTCAGCTGAAGAGCTACGTTAAGAATTCCAAACTATGCAATAATCACACGCGAAGGTTTCACAGCAACACAGAAACTGACCTTCATGTCTTTCAGTGCCAGATGATGCTGTATAGAGTTAAGACGCAGCGTGCGCGCTCTCACAGTGTGAAGGCACTGCTCCTCTGTAACGCTTTCTGTTTCTGAGTTTCTTCTGTTCCAGGAATGACGATAATTTCTTTTGTGTCATGCTGTGCAGACGGAGTGACGTTCTGAAGAAATTTCTTGGAAAGTCAACAGTTATTATGACACTGTAATATACGCTAGCTTACGGTTTATTTTGAATATGCACTTTGCATTTTAACCACTATAAAGGGCATTGAAACATTCAGCACGTGTGCAACAGAGGCTTATTTTATCTACCCTGTTAATGGAGATGAGTTAGAATATTTAGCATCCTGAAGGGTCAGGGCTTCTTCATGTAATATCAATACATACGTCTGCATCCTTGTTGTCTGTAGGTATATCCAAAACCCAACAGCTGCTGCTAAAACTACCCTGTATGATGCTGTACGGTTGCCCCCTCTGCTGATTTGTCAACACGATGAGCTCAGCATCCATCTACATTTACACATTTCTCGTGGTGTCTTCATATTTATTTCTCCATGAACATTCTACATGTCGATTATCTTTTGGCAATGGCAAACAGACTGTTCCTCACCAAGTAAAATGTAATGGAAATTTTAGAGAATGTACCTGTAACATGAATGTCTCTTACAGCAAGGCTGTGGCCCATGAAGGCTTTTAGGAAAACCAGAAGGGATGAAAGTATTTTGATTTCTTTCTGCTTTAGATTTAAATCCAGGTATTGGGTGCTTGAGGTTGGTACAGGAGTTTTGGATAAATTGACCCACGGTGAGTTCTTTCTTTCTTTAAGACTGTTCTTGTTTCAGCGCAAGACTAAAACCTCTCTCACTTCTGGCACTTCATGGTACTCTTTCCCCTCAAGACTTGAAATAGACTGATAAATGTTGTCGTGCTTAAAATCAAAAAGCTTCAGTGACTAGTAAAGTTCGTCTTGTTTTCATATATAAAAGATGGTTATTTTACTATCAGATTCAGAATCTTGTTGCAGATTATAGTATATTAACTGAAACTCTTGATACAAATGCTATGTAACGCATGATTGACCCTTGTGAATCACTTGCACTTTAAAATATACCCATACACATACATGCCCACACTGTGTATATGTTTGGGTTTTTCCTCTGTACTGAAAAGTCATGAAAGATACAAGTGCATCAATTGTGTGTCTTTTGCTGATAAAGAAATAAAATATTTCTCAAATGTGGCACATTGTGTGAAATATGATTTGCTCTACCTTTATTTTATTTTTTTTATTTTGGGGTCAGATTTGCCCAAAGTTGCATACTTGATAGTGTGTTGGAAAGAAACCTTCAACTGATTGTTGAACCTCGGATTGAGGAGGAGCTGTGCGGCCTTTGTTCAGGTTGTGAAACAGCGGACCAGATCTTTATCCTCGCAGGGTTGTTGAGGCGTCATGGGAGTTTCACTGTCCAGTTCTCAGGTGTTTTGCAAACCTGGAGGTTGATTACAATCAAGGCAAAGTGTTCATGTTCCTGGCCCATCTACCATCCTTCACTGATAGTCTTGAGATCTGAATCCTGAGGGAAACAAAGCAGCCAAAATAAGCTTTGCTGTAAAGTGGGCTTTCTCAGGAGAGGAGCTCAGCCATCCACAGGGAGCTCTGAGAGTCACTGCTCCTCTGCATCAGAAGGAATCACCTGAGGTGATTTGGGCGTCTGACTAGGATGCCTGCAAGTCACCGCTCTATGAAGGGGTTTTCAGCACCCAGGAGACCCAGAACTCACTACAGGGTTTCTATACTGTATTTTCTCTGGAGATGCCTCACGATCAGGATTGTTGCTTGAGAAAACAGTGTCTCCTTGACATGCTGCCTCTGTAACCCAATGTCAGAGAACTGACTGAAGGAGTAATAATCTGATGCAAATGTAATGCAATTTAAAAGTCAATAAAATAATCTTCACCAGAACCGTAATTACATTTTTGAGATTTGAGGTGTTTAAAAATGGCTGTACAGTAGTCCCTCGCTAATTCATGGTTCGGTTATCGTGGACTCGATCTATCGCGGCTTTTCAAAATAAGATTGGACATGACATACAATTGGCTGATTGATGGATGAGCTGCACAATCGGCATGGAATTTTTATTTTAAATAAATTGTTTTTTTATTATTTACCTGCTGCGCATTTGGGGAGCCCATACTGCAGGATAAACTTCCTGCTGCTGCTGATCAGCTGTTCTACGTGCAGAGCTAATAAGTGGGCGTGGCCAAGAGCGCTTGCCGGTGGCAAAGAGCAGAGGAGGCAGGGAGCTGATTTCATGATATGCTGTGCTCTTTTAGAGCATTTAGAGTTTAAAAACATTGTTTAG